CTGCTATTGTGAAGGAAAACCCATTTGCCACCGTTAGCTTTGGGGAAGCCGTTACCTGGAGCCATGCAGAAACCACTGCTTTAGCCATTGCAGCTTTCCTCACAACCTTGAAACTTCTACACATAATTCGCTTTAATCAGCACGTCTCCATAATGATGTCCTCATTTCGCGTTTGTAGGAGTTTATTGTTGTCCTATTCTGTGATTTTTATCATTATTTTTGTCTCATACGCTCAGATGGGGAAGCTGGCATTCGGCGACCACATTCATGGTTACTCATCAGTCTACAATGCATTGTTTTCTGAAGTTATCATGTGCCTTGGCGGCCAAATGAGATTTCATGAGTTAATAGGAGTTCATCGCTTTTTGGGTCCTTTATACGGTATTTCCTTCCTTGCTCTGATGTCCTTCATTTTTATGAACTTTTTCGTGGCAATTTTGAACGATTCTTTTGAAGACGTCAAAAGCAACACTGATAAACAATCCAAAGAATTTGAGATGGCTGATTTTATACTAGAGAGAGTGTGTGATATGTTAGGAATTAGCAAGCGAGGGAAAGATGCGGGTCAGAATGCCTCAGTGAGGGAGGATGACGCAGCTTCTACCAATTCCCAGGATAACTTCGATTTTCCTCTAAGAGAAACGTCCGAGGAAAGCGGCTCAAAACCTAACGAAAACCTGAGCGCCAAAGTTAAGCAAACAGCCATTAAAAAATCCCCATCACAGCATTTGGCAACCAAGTTAGAGTTCGAGAGACCGATTAGGCCAAAATCTTCAAAAAGAACGCCCGAAACACCCGAAAAGGTTTTTTCAAGTGAGCTTGATTTGGATTCTTCATTAGAACAGCTGTTTGAAAGGATTGGTGTGTTGGCCGGTGATCTCGCTATGGATGATGAACAACAGGATGCAAAATTGCTCAATGTGATCAGCCAAATCCTTAGAAACAATCATGAAATTCCATGCCAAGGAACGTCATCTAAACTACGTCAGATCGAAGAGTCTTACTCGGTACCAATCACTTCACAAGACAACACTGAATATAACAGGAGCAGTGAGTCAAAGAATTCTTCCGAGGATGAAATTATGAAATTTATTAGACGCAGATCAACTCGCGAGCTACCAATCCACTTAAAAGTCGGAAGTTTTTACCATCAGCCTCAAAATAATCGAACCGGTGGTAAATAAGAAAAATAGGCTAATCAATTGTGCTGTAAAATTGGGTTTTTCATGGATATATATTTAGCTTATCTCCATCTCAAGAAGAGCTCCATTAACAAAGGTGTTAAACGTATGAACGAAAGTTATAAGAATTAAACCATTAATTTCTCAACATCTATTCTGAGTGCACAAGCGTAAGGATCAGTACAGTGCCTCTTTTGAAAACCAGTCTCGCTTGAACTACATTTTCCATTTTTCGTCTAAGAGGGGGAATTTTGTTAATTATTATGACTATGTAGAAAGATTGTATAGGATTTATCGACGCACCAATTAATAAATTCTAATAAAACCATATTTCAAGATGTAACAACCCTCCGTAATTGGGGAAATTTTCTTTTCGTAATGACTGACTTTCGTTGAATAGCCGTTCAAGACGAGAGCAGCGAACAAGTTCATTTGCAGTGATAGCGCTGGCAGATGCATTTTATGTATGACACATAAAACAGATTTTGCATAACCTTTTTTCGATCCTTTGCTGACATTTGCTATTAATTTTGAATGGTGTAACGACTCCAAACGATGTCTTATCTGACAAGTTACGAGTTAAGATAACAGAGTTAACGCATTAAGCAGTCAATATTACGAACTTTTTTCTTACCGGCAGAATGTTTCCAGGCATTTTTTTTTTTGGAGCTTCGTACCTTACCGTTTCGAAATGTAGTTATAGTTTTATGTTACAATCTTCGGACTGGCTCGATGACGACACAATGTAACTCCGATGGCTTGGACTCTCCTTAGGATCCATACCACATGCAACTAAATTTCCCCAGCCAGTTATTTTATCAGTTTTTATGGCTCACTCTTTCTTTCCATCGATTCTGTCATTTGGCTCCAGCCTTAGACAAATTTGGTTAATGAAGAAAAAAAATGGCCGTTTTTCTAGTACACGCTCGATAAAGAAAATGCAGTGAATTTGACGCCTGTCTGTGGCTCGATCAGTTCTCGTCAGTTCAGCATTGCGATCTTAGACTAATCACCGCAGAAAACGTTGATGTTGTATATACAATCTTCGAGCTCGTCACTGTGCACGCTCTGACAAAACTTGAAGTCATTTTGCTGCGTTGTAGTGGAAG